CCCTGCCACTGCCCTGCCACCCCCCTGCCACTGCCCCACCGCCGGGCTCGAGCGCCTCGAGGGCAGTCCAGGGCAGGCCACACAACGGGCAGGAGGCAGAGGGCTCACTGAGTGGGGTCACACGGGGTGCCCGCTGCCCACACCTCCACCCTGGATGCAGGCACCAGGACACAGCCCTGCTGTGGAGCAACGGGCTCTCTAAAGCCTGCTCAGAAAACCCAACATGCTGGGGAACAGAGGATGATTCAACCCGCCCAGCAGACTGCCTGTGAGTGAGGACTGACTCAAGCTGCAGGTCCAGGTGCTCACTCATCAGTGACAACCCAAGGGGGAAGAGAAGGGGGAGCTGAATGCTGTGGAGAGGCAGCCAGGCCCTGAGCTGGGCACGGCAGCAGGGAGCCCCCGGAGGCTGCAGTGCAGCTGGGGGACAGGGTGTGTGAGTTCTGCAGTGCTATGCCAGCTACCTGCCTCCCGACACAACACTGCCCAGCCCTAAGGCAGCACCTTTACAAACACAGGCACTGGAAGGAGAATCCACAGAGGCTGTCCCTGGGATGGAACGAAGGGCACCGGGGTCCCAAAGGGAGCAGCAATAGGGCATTTACAAGCCAGCCAGGAAAACAGCCAAAGCTCAGGGGGTGCAGCAGCTCTACAGTACTGCTGAAGGGCAGCTCACCCGCCAGCCCCGTGCAGCCACGTCTGCCCCCTCACTGACCACAGCAGCTGCTTCAGGGGCAGCAGGCATTTACTGAGGTTACCACTAAACGTGGGGGAAAAAACAGCCCTGCAACACAGGAAAGCACATCTGGAATCCTCCTCAGACAGGACAACAACCAGATGTCCACAACCAGAACTCACATTACCTTCCCAAAGTTGTCAGTGTGCTTCCGATAGTCTAGGTCCTCATCCTAAAGGGAGATAAAGAGTCAAAATATTTAAGCACTCACAGAGCTCATCCAACCAAGAACATGCTCGCATGTGGCAGAAGTGCTGGGAAGTCCAGGCTCAGACTGCACACCATTGATCCCTGGCACTGAAGGCTGACAAACTAGTTAAAATCTAAACCAGAGCTGCGTCCCAACGTGAGTCAGATGGAACGTGTCCTTATCTGATCCCAGCTGGCACCACAGCCACGGTGCCTCTTGCCCAACCTGCAGACCTGGCAGCACTGCACACCTACGTCCTCCCTCAAGTACACGAGCCCCCAAGAGGAGTGTCCCTCCCTCCTCTGAGGACGCTGCACTGCAGACGGGCTCGGAGCTCTGCAGACACTGGTAGCACCGTGCCCAGTCTTGTGAACTTACACACTACAGCTAAGCCAGTCTAACAGCTCAGCACAATAAAAGATCTCCCTCTACCCCTGATCCTCCTGTGGGTCCCCTGTCTTGTCCCTGCTGTTATCTAGGTGATTCCATTCACTGGATGGCTTGTTTACCTGAGTCACTCAACCCATTAACCAACACAAAGCTACTCTCTTTTCCTTTGGTCAGGTTAGCTGTATACCAGGTAGGGAGCTGAGGAGACTCGAGAAAGGTCTGGTAAGACTAGAGACAGCAGAAGGCAGAAGCATGCAGCTCAGAGGAAAGGAAGAGGACTTTCCAGCTCTGGCAGCACTGGGCTGACCAACGACCAGCTGGCTGGACACAGGCCCATGGGCTGCACTTGCAGTGTCCCTCTCGGAGAGGGCACAGGCTCCAAGGCTCCCACGGCGTCCTGACGCCCACAGCAGTCACAAGGCAGGGGAGCTCCCACCCCCCACCCCCTTCCCAGGCAGCACGGCTGAGATCACACGGCGATCCCAGCCAGCCTGCAGCAAACACACAGGTTGTCTTGCTGCCACTGCCCATGGTCAGCTTGTCGGTTCTCCAGGCACCTAGGAGGCAGAGCCGGGAGCTCTGCTGCCATTTGGGGCAGCAAAAGGAAAGAGCTGGCGTGTGCCCTGGACTCCAAACTCCCACCCAAAGCCCCCTGACTCACTATGTTGCTGTGGTGAGCCTTAGTCATGAGCAGCATGCGGCCAACGAGGTCGGTAGTTGACACACCCTGGGTGCGTTTGCATTCCCTGCAGGGGAGACAAGCAGAGGATAAAGCAGAAGCCCCAGGAGCGTATGCTTCTTTCTCTGCCCACCATGACCACAGGGACACCTGATAAATCCAAACCAGGGCCCAGCCCAAGAAAGTCTCCCTTCTACCTGCTCTTGGTATCAAGAGAAGCATTCATCTGCTGAGCCTCTGCATCTCCTTCATGCCACAGCAACTGCTCACATGAGGAAAACTCACCTTGCACGGCCTGGCCAACAGAGCTAACTCCCAGTGACCAGAACTAGCACCCCCCTGGAGCCAGTCAGCTGCTACTCTGTGACACTTCCCTCAAGCCAAAATGGTGGGAGCAGCTGAAGCTCTGACACACACTACAGCAAAATAACAGCCTGGCCTGAAGGTAGCTGTGTTTCATCTGCTTTCCTTCCAAGGCAGGCACCCCCAGGAGCTCTGCCCAGAGAGGAGGTGAGCAGCACGGTGTTACCTGTAGCGCCCTGCTGCCTTCACCTCCTCATAGGTGTCCTTGCCGTCGATGGTTAAGGTGATGTCATCTGCAGAGAGAGAACAGCCTCAGAACTGCACCCCAGGCCCTCCTGCACAAAGGCTGTTTTAGACCGACAGCAGCAGCAGCTGCCCAGGTCCAGCACATGCAGCAGACCAGAACTGCCACCCCAATCCTTGCACACCCATGGGGATACATCCTGCACCCTACCGAGCGGCCACGGCTTTCGAGACCGCCCTGACTGTGGAGACAGGCACGTTCCTGGATGCCAAATGCCATCAGCCACCTGCTCCACTTCTCTTTAGATAGCCCAGAAAACCTGAGCCAGTTGCCCTTCCAGCATCTCCAGCAGCAGACACGACTGAACGACTGTCTGAACAACAATAAACAGCTCCATCTGCCTCAGCACTAAAAACCACCTTCACTTCCCCAGGAGTGGCTTCAGCCAATGGTTCACGTGACGTTTTCAGTTAGTCCAACACCCAGTTCTGCCCTCGGTGGTGGCACTCCTGCAGTGACATCCAGCTATCCCTCTGCAGAGTGCATTCCAGTTCATCCCTGGCATAGTCCCCAACTCACTCTACAAGGCCACCTCTCACCTACTGTAGTGATAGTACAAAACCTTCACTACGAACCTTAGGCTGGCTTTGGTTTGGCAGGGCTGCAGGCAGGGCAGCACTGCCCGCTCAGGAGGGCTCTGCTGGAGTGGCAGCTCAGCACAGCCATGGAGGCCTCCGAGGAGATGTTCCCCAAGCCCACACCCTCACCTCAGGGCACAGGAGATGGGAACAGACTGCCAGCCCAGCTTGGTGTGCCAGCAGAGAGGCAGAAGCAGCAGCTCTGCTGCCTGTCACCTTCACAGCTAAGCTCACCTCCTTCAAAACTCACCTCTTGCATAAACACAACCTGGCAAAGCTGCAGAACGTTGCTCAGGTAGAGCTGCCGAGGGATTTGGCAGCTGGGATAAATGCAGGAAAACTGGAACAAAGTTCACAAGTGCTTTTCTTGCCATAACCCTTCAGCACGTCTAGTAAGGGGTCACTGACCCCAAACACATTCAGGGCAGGCAATTAATTTAACAGACAATTTAATAATTACCCTCTCCACATGAAGAATTGTGTCCATCTTACAGAAGATAAATTATTTCTTTACACTTCATGGAATACTTGGCCTATCGACAGCAGGTGGCTGGGATCAGATGAGGAAGGACATGTGAAATGGGTGCAAAGACCACTCCTGATTAAACTGCACAAAACACCTTCAGAGGGGCAAGGAGGAGGGGCTGAGGCAGAACAAACAGTTCCAGGAAGGGACCGAGTACAAAAGCAAGAATGTTTCCTCAGAACACTGGTTCTCTTCAGCCACTGTAAACTGAAAAGTATTCATAACAAGAACTAGGTCTCTGACCACGCAGCCAGCTAAGCCCCTGAACAGCTTACCAGCTGGCTAAGAGAGAGCAGCTTTCCAGACCTGATCTCATCCTAGGGGAAGCAGATACAAACACGACTGCAGTTCCACACACTGAGCTGATTAACGGCATTCTTCACCTTTAAAGTTTCGTACGAGACTTTCCCCTCTGTGCACATTTCTGCTGGTGCTAAGGGCAGCCTCATGATTTCTCACCCAGCACGTCTCACGGGGTGCTGGAAGCCCAGGGGCTGCCTGCCCCGAGGGTGGCCAGCACTCAGGCAGATGTCTCTGGAGCACCAGAGGAGCAGCCCTGCTGCCCAGTACCGGTAACACACAGCTCCAGGTGAGGCAGCCCCCGAGGGCGAGCACTGGCCACAACTCTCCTTGGTTCCCAGAGGGCTGGTGTTAATAGAACTGTCACCTTCAGAATTCCACTCACCACCATGCACACAGAAGTCACAGTTATATTTGTCCAGGGTTTCCAGTGTGGTGACGTAGGGAGCTCCTGGAGCAATCTCATCCACCCACTTGATGGCTTGCACCATTTTGTACCTCTCCTCCTGTGTAAAGACAGGGGGGCCCTTGTGCTTGGCAATCTCCTCTGGGCAAGAAACAGAAAAACCCAGTTAGAAGCATGTACTGCAGCAAAAAGAGCCTCTCACCTAAGAAGCCTCCCTCTTTTTGGGTGCAGCTAACTTTGTTGCGGGCCTAAACTCAGCTTGGAATCAGAAAATACTTTAATTCAGCTGCATTTCCCAAGTGTGTAACAAGGGCACTGGACTTCACTCGGAAGGTGAAAGGTCCCACTGCCTCCCTGTACCCAGATACCTCCTTCTGGCAGGAGGGTGTGGGTGTGGGTGTTTACCTGGGCCTCCTGGCAGCCCCCAAGGGGAAATTCCCCTTTTAAACAGCAGCTCCATGCTACACTCGATTCACACTAGAAAACAGGCATCCACAAACCAATTTAAAATCCACCTTCACACACAAAACCTAGTTGCTAGCACTTCCAGATGGGCCTGAAACTAACTTTCGCTGCACAGCAATGTTTTGGCATACCAGTTCTGCAGTTTGCACCAGCAAAACCAGACTGATTTTCAGCTGGTTAAACTGATTTTCCAGCAGAGGACACCAATCGCCTCTCAAGCAAAGCCTGCAAGCTCTGAACTACCTGTTTTTCACTCTGCAAAGTGCAAAAGGCGTGACTCCACTCCCTTACCCCAGGAAGACACTTTTCTCTTGGAAGCTGCTGCTCCTGGAGCAGAGGAGTAAAGAAGCCAGCTCTGTTACCAGGACAACTCCGTGCTCTCAGGGTTAACGGGGCTGGGCGGTTCTAGAGGCAGCATGAGGTGAAAAGCTGTGAAAACCTCTTACCATCCGTGTGGACGCCAACAATCAGATAATCTCCCATGGCCCGAGCCTGGCGCAGCTGGTTCGAGTGGCCATAGTGCACCATGTCATAGCTAGAAAGATAACGGCCCCGGTTCAGCCTGGGGACGGGGGGACGCGCTCTGCCGGGCAGCCGCGGGAG